AAATTAAACTGAAACAATCTCGAGAAAACGATCTGAACTGTAAACTTGCCGACAGCATTGCTGTCAAATATTGGAAGTTTGTTTTGTCAGGGAAAAACCCCAGGCCCAAGATTCCGTGCAAGCATGAAGTACATGAAACGGAAAACCGGAAGAGGAGAGCTTCTGCCGTAAAGTATAGCGAAATTATGGCTGTGTGATTTAAATACAGACTGCTTCTTTCATATGTCGCACTGTTCCAACATTGACAGTTAAAACAAGGTAATAAATTCTACAAATTTAGTACATTTAAGCAAAAAAAAAAAAAGGTAAAAATATTTAGTTCAAACGATATCGAATAGTTAAAACTACATAAGAGGTAAGGCGGTAGCAACAAGAAGCAGAAATTGTAAAATAAATAAATAAATAAAATAAATAAATTTAAAAAATAAAAGAAAAAACTTTTTTCGCTCTGTGCGGGCGCAATCATTTTAATGAGCTGGTCATATGATCAGAGTAAGTGAAAATGAGTGGCTCTGAGGACGAGAATGAGCCCCTTTACGATTTTTGCTCTCTTTCTCACTCCAAAGGCATATAGAAGCAAAGAATGTTTTTTTTGTCAATGAAAAACTTTTCCCAAAAGAATTTCATTAACTTAATTCTAAAAGCGGTTGTACCAAAGTACATGTTGTTGTACTAAAGTCTCGCAGAAGATCATTTATCATTTCAAAATATTCCGAGTGTTGTACTCCTATAGACCGATGCACTTTATAAACTTGAATAGTAAGTTCTAAAATGGTGGCGAGCAAGTTCGTTAGAGTGATGGCAAATAACATCCTACATCCTAAGGGATAAAAAAGAATCAACGCAGAACTTTCTAGATGTACGTCGTAAGTTTGACTTCACAGTATATGGAGATGCTGTTTTGATAGGCGCGTATTAATTTTCAGCACACGATTTTTAAGAAGCACTAAACAACAACGATTCAATAATTTGTTTAACGATTCAATACTGTGTAGGTTAGGAATTTTTAAAGCAGTTAGCCCTGAAGACTACAGCACCATTGTGCTAAATGAAAAAGGTATGAACTAAGAGGACTCTGAACTTTGAGAAAGCAAAGGTGCCGAAAGTTTAATTTATCGTGTAAGATTCACGGTTCTCTGTGTTGAATAAAAAAAAAAAATAATAAAAAGATCAGCTGATGCAAATTCCTTCCTGGTCCAGTAAATAGCGAAGTTATGGCTGGGTCAGTTATTTTGGTAAAAAGAAAAACAACTCTTAATGTCCCAAACAAACTGATCATTCGAAAGGATGAAGACAGACGGGTAGCGAAACAACACAAGAAGCACAACATGAGTTCTCTGTGCAAGCTAGAAATGGTTTTCAATTTTTCATGTAATTTCTTTCTAAATATTTAGTCATTATGCTAGAAATTCTACGTTTTAGAGAGCAAAGCCAAGGTTGTTGTGTGTTGATGTGAAAATCTTCAGCAGCGAGAAATATGATGCTATCGAGGGGTACATACTGTTCTTCATACATCAAATACTTTTGATCGCGCGCGATTGGTTTACACACAGCAAGTGACTGATTATTCCCCAGCTAAAACTAGGTGACATCCGAAAATATCACCTAAGCGATATTCCCCAATTTGCAAACCTTACATTCGCCGCGATAAGTCTTCGTTTCAAACGTAATTCAAATCAGGGTAATTTCGTATTATAAGCACTTTGCAATCGCTCTGACGAAGGGCTAATGCTCGAAACGTCCGCTTTTAAACTCTTTACGGTGGCCAATTTACGTTATTAATTCAATTCAGTAAGCTGTTCATGAACATTTTTTCACGTGCGTTGCAAAATATTTGAAGGATAAAAAACACAAGCATCTATTTTGCGCGAACGTTTATACGGATATTGGTCCTTGGGCGTTATCTGTTCCTCGAAGCTCACAGTTTTCACATCCTGGAACAGATAAGGTCCACGGACACATATCCGTACTTATTTTCGCGCCAAATTGGGGCAATTGTTTATATAGTGCTGTATAGTGATGTAAAATTCAGTAGAGGGAAGCATAGAGCCATCTAGGGGTACATATTGTCGTGAAGTGCTGTATAGTTAGATAAACTAGAACAGATAACAGTTAGATATGCGGATGTACAATGTATTGAGGAATGTTAAGTGTTGTATGGTGCTGTATATAGATTTAAACTGCATTTTACGGATTTACAGTGCTACTCAGGGGTATAATGTTTTATTGTGCTGTATAATGATAAAAGTTGCAGTAGGGGAATGCCTAGTGCTATTGAAGGGAGGGGGAAGAGGGGCATATGGGCATGCGTATTCAAGGAGTTTACTCTTCGATGTAAGGAGACATGGAGTCCAATGATTGACAGAACGTATTCGCTACTACTAAATCTCTTAACGCGTCAACGACTACCTCTTAATAAGTATTATAGTAACTTATCCTGGACCTAGGTGGACCCTGGGCGGGAGTTTGACCCATTCCCAATCAGATGATAGAGGAAGCCTTAATTTGGACGTTGAAGGACTCGCTCCATCAAAATGCACCGATTATATGATTTATATGTCGCCAAGACTTAGAGGGAACTCTTTCGCTCCCTTAACTCCTCTAGATCTGCACCGATTATATGGTTTATATGTCGCCAAGACTTAGAGGGAGCTCTTTCGCTCCCTTAACTCCTCTAGATCTGCAACTGTGATGAGAGGACCGAGGAGATCAAACCCTGGCACGTGAGACTTAAATGTGAGAGACCCTGTGGACTAGGAATCAGTCGAAAGCAAAACTAAGATTTCACTAAAGATGACACCATCCTAAAGGGGACAAAATAAGCAGGATAGCAACTACTCTGGGGGAGTAAAGAGGTATATAAGTTGTAAGAGGCCTGACGTTGCGTGAGGATCGAGACGAATGAAAACTGAAACTGAGAAAGTCGCTTCAAATGAATTGCGCACAAGAATAAAGTTGAGGGCAATCAAATAGATGCGCGTAAACATGGAATAAAGGAAAAGTACTATAAAAAAAAGGAACGAAAGGAAGCAGAAAAAAGAAATGCGCAAATGTGAAAAGATGTAAAAACGTGTGTGAAGAAAAAGGCGCACACATTTAGCAACATGAACACGTCTGTCGGCGTTCAAAACCGTGTGACAATATGAAAAACTGTAGACAATGGAAGAGACACAATCGAAGAGACGACGCGCGTTTGTTAAGTGGGTGGGGGCTTGAAACATGGAAAGTTAGTACACTGTCAGCTGCACAGATTACAAACTTGGCGCGCGCGGGTCAAAACAAGCATTGTTTGCCCACATCTGTTGTCTCTGCATCTCATGTGCATCCTTAGAATATGGAGACAGACCTTGAAAATCAACGAAGTTTTTGTATTTTATACAATGTATATTTCTCTCATACAAAGAAGTAAAAAAATAAGCACAATAGTAACTGCATTGAATTGTCAAGGCTTTAAGTAAAGTACGCGCTAAACGGAGACACTAAAATGAACTCATTTACTCCCAAAACTGATGATAATTTAAATTTTCCTCACAAAATTAATACACCAACAATAATGGCATCAAAGATTAGAGAAAACTAGTCTAAACTGGAAGATAATTTTATGCTAGAAACGCAATGTTAAATTGAATTCTCGGATTGAAAGAACAAAAGAAACACATTCTTGTCAGTTGGGAGAATTTGTCTTCAGAACTTGAAAATTCAAGAGTAAATTAAACTAAGGGACATGAACAATTATCTTCAACTGTAAATAAAAATACCATCAAAACACTTCACACGAAATACACCGACATTATATAAAAAATATTTAGTTGAGACTGTTCCTGTTTGTTTTTAAAATCCTACGTTACATCATATGCAATCATGTCCGAGATTAACTATTACATTTTATACCAGCATATACCAATGATAGTTACAAAAACTGCAAAATTAAGATTGATTTCACAAACATTTCTTCTAACACAGCTGTGATACAGTATATATTTAACTTTTGACCACATGACGGGTTCTAATTTCAAAGCGTGTTCCGAATACCTAAGTATAAATTCTTAAATCTAAGAAAGATATTATCAGACACCTTCATATTATACTAAAGTAAATTTAAAGCAAAACGACCAGATAAATGTTTGATAAAACGGACTAAAATTGACCTAAACTCATTTGATTAAAAAAAGTTGTAGCTAGTTTCTTGACCTATTGTAGGCCTGTTCCCGAAGAAAGTTCAATTTTTGTTTCAACATTTGCAAGAGTCATATTATAAAAGTCAATCGGGCGGAAAACAATTGTAAGCCGAGCCTGAGGGACTAAAGGTTAGCTACACCCCTAAATGTCTCTATTATATGGTCAGTAAATTCAATGACATCATCTCTGATGTTTATTTCTTTAAATAAAGCCTAGAATGGCAATCTTGGCACTGATAGAATTAGATTGCATTAAATTTGGCAAAAGTAATTTACGATATACAAAAATCATCTAAGTTTAATTAACATATGGCTGCAAATTTTGCAAATCAAATTTTTTGAAATAAACATTTGCCAACTGCTGCAAATGACGAACTGTTTCTTTGCTTATTAGAAGCTTAAAGTATAAATGTAATTAAAACCCGGTAGAAAAGCTCCTGGTTATGTACAAGAAAAAACCTTTTAAATTGTTTTCCATAAAACTACTTGTAATACAGGAATAGAGCTGACTGTCATTTTCGCGAAAACGAAAACCCCGTAATCGCTTTCAGCTACTGCAGGCATCATTACAGAAGCCTTGTTTCATTTCTTTCTCTACGCAAGCATATATATTTGCAAAGGTAAGAAAAAAAGAAATTCCAGTGATCAAAATATAATCAAATAGACCGTTTTTATTTCTTCACCAGAGTAAGGTTACACATCTCAAATACCATTAAAAAAAAAGAAAAAAGTTGCGTCATTCTATATGACATGGAAAAAAAATTTTTTTTCATCTATTTGATTTTATATTTAAATTTTCTTTTCCTTTTCCATGAGGTCAGGAGTGACGTCATCTCCAATCAGCAAAAAGGGCGCCCAGTATTTGATGTCGCGGAACTTGTCTAATTCTCTGAGGCTTTTCATGGCTAGGTTCAGCGACTCGCTTGCAGGTTTACCTTCTGCAAGGTGTTGATAAAAGCATTTCATGAACTCGAGAGTAGCCTCGTCATCAATCGCCCACAGGGACACCACAACAGACCGAGCACCTGCTCCCATAAAAGCGCGCGCAATGCCAACCACACCTTCCGCCTTGATTTCGCCCCAACCACTGTGGCAGCAACTAAGTACAACAAGTTTGGCGCGAAGTTGAACATTCAACACATCTCCAATTGTTAAAATGTAATCCTCCTTCGTTGGCATAGAAGACATTCGGTGTGGGTTAGGTGTAAGAGCAATTTCGCCCGTTTCCATACATCCGTGGGCGGCAAAGTGAACTAAGGAAACGGAACTGAGTCTTTTTAACACCTCATGTTTCGTGGCCTGTCTGCCAGTGATTGGCGTGATATTCAGAATTTTTCCGATCATTTCTACTTCTTGTTTAGCACACGGAAGCTGCTCGAGAGGTCTCTCTCCATTGCTTTTAGTAACCTCGGCTACCCATGGATCTCCTACAAGTAACGCACCACTGCTTTTGTGATAATCATCAGGGTAATCGGCAAGGAGTCTAAGACTTGTTAACGATGGAGCGAGTCGGATTCTGAAAGATTCACACAGGTATTTAGAGTTACCATCCTTGAGTGCAGCATAAGGAGCGAGCCACAGGGGTCCATCGGGAATAATGAGTAGCTCATCCCCTTGTATCAGGTCAGCCACCGGCTTCATGACGGTATCATACAAAGTGCTCAAGCATTCGTTTTGTTGGATGGGAAGTTGAGGGTTGTCTTCTTCAGTTTTCTCATATTCTTTTGGACGGCTCTCCCTCAAAGCATCCAAAGATCGGTTCTCGCATCTCACATTAGAACGAACACCAAGTCGCGTATAGACACCGAGCATGAACGACTCAAAGGACTGGCTAGCTCCACTGTTCTCTGAAACAGAACCATTGAGTTTACTTTGTCTTAATTGAACTTTTTTATTTTCTTCGGAGACAACCCAAAGATTGACGTCAGCTCTGTCCATTGCCTGAAAGACAGTGTTTGATGGAACGTTTTTTAAAACTGCTAAATCTTCATTGCCTCCCTTGTGCTGACTTGTTCCACCACAAAAATGGGATTCCATGAGGTCGGTCAGAGCTTGAGCTCGTCCTTTCTCGGCGGCAAGTAAGGCTTCATCAATATTACCTTGTTTTACGAGAACTCTCCACAAACCCGTATACGCCATTTGATACTGATTTCGAAAATTAACTTTCCATTCATCTTAAGATTCTAGAAGTACTCTCAAGGAATTAAATAAGGTTATGCTAGCTTGGTAATATTCAACAGCTTTTGGCAGTCGACTCAGCAACTCAAAAACGGATCCTGATGAATAGTAGGCCGTTGCCTCCAAGGTTTTGTCTTCGACTTCTTTGGCAATTTTAAGCATTACCTTGTATGACTTTTTGGCCTTTACCAAATCACCCAGACGCTTATGCGCATTGCCAAGATTGCCATAAGCCTTACCCTCCCCATGCTTGTCTCTTACTTCTTCAGCTATTTTAAGATCTAGATTGAAATACTCTATGGCTTTTTTGAAATCACCCTGACCGTAATAAGCATTGCCAAGATTGCCATAAGCACAACCCTCCCCATGCTTGTCTCCTAATTCTTCAGCTATCATGAGATGTAGGCTGTGGTACTCTATGGCTTTTTTGAAATCACCTAGACGGAAGTAAGCAGTACCAAGACTGCCATAAGCGTTACCCTCTCCTTGCTTGTTTCCTACTTCTTTAGCTTTTAAAAGACCTAGGTAATGGTACTCTCTGGCTTTTTTTAAATCACCTAGACTCTTATACGCATTGCCAAGATTGCAATAAGCCTTACCTTCCCCATGTTTGTCTCCTACTTCTTTAGCTATTTTAAGATCTAGGTTGTGGTACTCTATGGCTTTTTTGAAATCACCCAGACTGTCATAAACATTGCCAAGGTTACCATAACTTTTGCCCTCCCCATGCTTGTCTCCTACTTCTTTAGCTATTTCAAGATGTAGGTTGAGGTACTGCATGGCTTTTTTGAAATCACCGAGACTGTAAAAAGCATTGCCAAGATTGCCATAAGCGTTACCCTCCCCACGCCTGTCTCCTACTTCTTTAGTTATTTGAAGATGTAGGTTGTGGTACTCTATGGCTTTTTTTAAATCACCCAGACTGTCATAAGCATTGCCAAGATTGCTATAAGCGTTACCCTCCCCACGCTTGTCTCCTATTTCTTTAGCTATCATAAGATGTAGGCTGTGGTACTCTCTGGCTTTTTTTAAATCACCCAGACCGTGATAAGCATTGCCAAGGTTACTATAAGCTTTACTCTCCCCATGTTTGTTTCCTACCTCATTAGCTAATGTAAGATATAGGTTGTGGTACTCTATGGCTTTTTTGAAATCACCCAGACTGTAATAATCATTGCCAAGATTACCAGAAGCGTTACCCTCCCCATGCTTGTCTCCTACTTCTTGAGCTATTTTAAGATGTACGTTGTGGAACTCTATGGCTTTTTTGAAATCCCCTTGACTCCAATATACATTGCCAAGATCACCATAAGCACTACCCTCCCCTTTCTTATCTCCTACTTCTTCAGTTATTTTAAGATATAGGTTGAGATACTCTATGGCTTTCTTGAAATCACCAAGACTCCGATGAGCATCGCCAAGGCAATTATAAGCGTAACCCTCCCAATGCTTGTTTCCTACTTTTTTAGCTATTAAAAGATGTTGGTTATGGCACTCTATGGCTTTTTTGAAATCGCCTAGACTTTCATAAACATTGCCAAGATCGCTATAAGTGATACCCTCCCCATGCTTGTCTCCCCGATTATATACATCACTTGCACTTGCACTACCATGGTCATAACTAATACGATCTTTTTCCTCCGTGGACTTATCTCCCACTTCTCTAACAGACTGAATTCTTAATGACAACAAGATCCCATTGTTTTGGTCAATCTTTTTTTATGTCAAGGAATCGAAAAGATTATTTTTCTGATCACATAGGTATATAATGGTCAATTTTTACAGGTGCGAGCTTGGTTGCGAAGCCTTTGAATATGAATGTGCTTAAGGGTGACCTTGTTATGATACAGACATTGCTGCTTTTTAAATTAAAATTACTTTGTTATTATGCGCACTAGATACTGGTTTCTACAACAACAAGGTCATCTTCAGCCTCATTCCAAATCAAAGGCTTGGCAACTAAGTGCCCAACTGTAAAATGGCCTATTAAGAGGACTTGCGTGAAAGGTAGAACTTAATTAATGAACATTCAGTTTCAAAGTCAGTTATGAAGTAAAATCTACGCATCACAAAATTTTTCCTTCTGAGTGCAATCTTAAATTTTAAAGCGAAATATCTAGATATAATCCCTTGTTTCCAAAAACTGGGAAGCACTTGCTCGATTTTTAAATTAATATAGCTTTAACATCAGACAAATGTTTTACGGCAGTGGATGAAATGAGTCTAGAACACAAATACGTGCCTTTAAAAGTTGTATTTGTCCATAGGAAAATGCAACGAAAGTTTCCGAGTCTCTGAGTAGTGGAAAAATGTAACAGGAAGAAAATCAACATAATATATATATATATATATAAACATTACCAAGCTTCTTTTTCTGACTCGTTTTAGAGAGATCATCTATCCATATACCAATAATAAACTGGATGAATAGTAGTCTTTTAACCAAAGTAACGTAACAATATAATGCACCAGTTGTGACATGGATAGTACGACTAAGTCATGGCTAAAAGGAATATATCATTATTAAGACATGAGGTATTAACCTTTCCCATGTTTCATAATTACAAACACTCAAATTATGAGCTGATAAGTTCCCATCGTAATTAATACCCTTCTTTGCATTGTCTCCCTTTAAACATCAAATTGTGGAATATTTCCATTATACCCACGGTTAAAAATTAAAGATTCCTTCAAAGGATACTGCTAATCCCTTATCACACCAAGTGATTGCTTCTTCAAATCTCTTCAGTTCAACACAGGCAGTGGCTCCTGTAGGCAACAACACAACTACCGGTAAGCATCTAATTACTGTAGCTCAATTCCAAGAAAAGAATCTGAAATCATTGAAAGCTACATCATTACAGACCAGAAAACAAAAATAAACAGAAAACAAAATAAAACAAACCAAAAAAACACCTTTTAACTTAAAATTATACAATAAATATATCAAAAAGATAACTCATAACTGGATAAAATACAACACATAAGATATGAATAGAATAAAAAACAGAAAAATGAAACCCACTTTTTAATTTTTTTTAAATGGTACATTTGTTAATTAACCTTTTAAGAACTACGTTACATTTCAACTTCAATCAAAATTCAAATTAAAAATTTTATTTGAAATAAATACTAGTCTCCCTTTAGTATGAGTTAACTTATTCGATTAACTAAATCAGTTGATAATTTATTCCTAAGAGGTGACTCAAACTAAGGTTTGAAGTTCACCAAGAATAAGATTCACTCATGCCGTCTCTAGTTACATTATTATAATGAAGAAATGTAAAATGGTTTCCGTGTTTACAGAGCCTGATGTAAACACGCGGGAGGTTGGGAGAACACGAGATAAGCGTAGGAAACCACGACGCGAAGCGGAGTGGTTTCCAGCTTATCTCGTGTTCTCCCAACCTCCCGCGTGTTTACATCAGGCTATGTAAACACGGAAACCATTTTACATTTCTTTTATAAAATAACTAATGAAAGAGGAACGAAAACCGTGTTTACATACGCTCATGTAAAATGGTTTTATGGCCAATCAGAGCGCGCATACTATTTGAATTATTTTATAACATGTATTATAGCACTTGAAGTTGAGTTATACTTGACGAAAGAGGAAAGTTTTCTCACAGTTTTGAGTTAAGTTAAGTCCTTACTTCTCTTCAAAACAGCTAGATAGCGAATTAACATATCTGACACCCCAGGGAACTAAAATACTCAAGCTGAAATTTGGCCTTAATTTGCATTCAGCATTGAGTTCTTCATCCAATTCAAAATAATATTCTTATCATAATAGAAAGTTAGTCGGCACAGCAGTCAAGAGCTATAATCAAATGTACATCAGGGTTGCCTCCACCTCTTAATTTAAGTCAATTGAGAGATGAATTTAACTTCATCTATCCATAGAGTGATGAATTCCTTTTTTTATTACTATAGCACAGCTAACATATCTAACCTCTCACAATTGCCTTGAGGAAAGTTGGATTTAACTCAATGGCTGCTTCTGCATCCCTTAGTGAATCCTGGTGATTTCCTGGTTTTAAAATAAATATCTCTGATTAGTTCTACATATAGCAAACCCTGAGCACCTCTACATTCATTTTAGGAAAAGCTTGTGATGCTCATTGATATATGGAGTATTACAGACTTATAATAACTTCTTTGAATGTTTGAGAGGCCAAGGTGAGGCATGAACATTTTTCTGGAGAATTTCTTTTTTGGCAAAAATTCAAAATTATCACCTTTATCAGAAAGCTACTACTGTATGTCACAGTCCTACGCTTCAAAAGATAAAAAAAAAAAGCATATTAAAGCTCTCGTCATCTTACCAAGTTTAAAATGTGTAATAGCCCTATTGTTGAACAGTTTGGCCTTCAGTTCTTTCTCATTACAGTTCATTTTAATTCCTTCTGTGTAAAAGTGAATAGCATTGATGAAATCTCCTTTCTTGAAGGCCTCATTACCCTCATTCCTGTAAACATCAGCTGTGGCTGCAAAGAAAAGATAGAAAATAATTTATGTCAAAGTCTGTGGTGGTAGTTAATCTGCAGATTTTTCATTTTGTGCCAGCTGCCACTTTGCACCTGCCTGACTTCAAGAACCATCCCCTGAAAACTTTAAATGATGTCTGCAGCTTGACCCCCCTCCCCCTCATAAGAAAAACCCCACTCAGTTAGTTTATGAGACTTTTTATGGCTGAAAGCTCAACCAATCAGTCACTCAGTTGCTGTTGTGATGATTGTTTAGAAGAGAGTGCAATCCCTACTTCAGAACAATCTAAGCGCATTCAAGAAAATTAAGAGAAGAACCCTGAGATAACCATAATAACATTGGATGTGGCAAATCTGGAGTTCAAATGTTATATTTCTGTGAGGAACTGACCAAAATCCTCATTTATCTTGAAGGATTAATGACCCATATGGGAGGCCCAGAGTCTCCTTCTGTTTCTGTGAGATTAATAGTTATGATAATGCTGATAATGTGGGTGACAATAGGGAAGATGATGAGGACAAGGATGATGATGATAATGAGAACTGAGCATCACTCAATTTGAAGCTAACCCCTGGACTTTTGGAGGTTGGTCTCCTCAAACTCCCCCCCCTTCCCCCCCCCCCCACCCCCAGCAAAAATTATGATCAAATGTACCCAATTTCTTTGTAAAAAGCAAAATTAGCAACTGTCACTTTCAAGCAAAATTACCTATAGACAAGTAGTCATGATATAAATGATAAGAGTTGTTGATTACCTCAACTGCACAGACTGGACTCAAAACTAATCTCAGGGCCGCAAGGCCCCATAGACTGCCTTGTTATTATGTAATAGCAGTTTTGTCTTGTGTTGCACCAAGCAAAAGTAAAAAATGTTTAATGCATGTTTTCACAAAGGATTTGTCTAAGGATCAAGGATTTGCCTAAGGATATTTTAATGCTGGCGAGTTTATAACTCTATGTTCTCACAAGGCTGGATGAATGTAAGTTTTACTGCCAGATATGTCATTTGCATGGAAAGATCTCTAGGTAATGTTTGTGATTTTGCAATTTCCACAGCTTCAGATTACATTCACTTAATAAATACTGAAAATCCAAGCCTTGTCGACCGTGCACTTCAATTACTCATCGGCCCAACAATGATAATAATAATAAAGAAGATGAGATTATAAGTTATGATAATGCAATAATGTGGGTGACAACAGCGGTAATAATAATTACATGAATTAGACATCATTCAATTTGAAGCAAACCCTTAGGTACTTACTTTTGGGAATCAGTTTCTAAAAATTCCTAAAAAATTCCCATAATATGTGGTCAAATGCCCTACCCAATTTTTAAGTAAAAAGCGAAATAATTAAACCAAGCTTTAAAACCTAGACCTTGTGCAATTTTTTCTTCTTAGCCACTTGTTAATGAAAGTGCACTATCTACCTTAAACACCACCATATTCAATGGTATAACACTTGTATTCTAATGGAAAGTCTTGACTTTTCTGGTTCAAATTCCCCAATGCCAGTCAGGCAAATTGTTCAATCTTATCTTCCCCACCCCCCACCCCTACCCCCCTTTGGCTTGGATGATGCTTGTTGGTTAAGGAGAAGGAGGGAAGGGATGTTGAAGCTTTTGAATTGATTGTTAATGCATTATAATGGGAAGATATGATGATGATGATGATGATGATGATGGTGGTATTTATGATGCAAACTTACAAAATGGATGTTATATGATGATCAAAATAAAGTCTTTTACTTATTATTATAACTTTGTGTAAAGCAAATGTCAAATTTTTCTGTGTCATAAATCCTCTCAATGAACAACATATTCTAATCATAGAAGAGAGTCATGACTGGCCAAAATCTCATTTAAAGTGGTAATACAGTGTATCCTTCTCCAGATCTGCTTGCTTCTTGAAACTGGTGGAAAAGAAATTGTTCTAACAATAACTGATGCCAAACTCAAGCCTAGCTCACCTCGTAAAGTGTCCTCATCAAAATCTGGTACATTTTCTTGGTCAGGTAAGTCTTCTTTTTCACATGAAACTTTAATTGGACTTCTTCCTGAAGTCATAGCAACTGTAAGAAGATGCTTCTTCCAAAAAGTTGCTTTTTAAAGTTATCCTTGCCTGAAAAAAAGATGGTTACAAATGGTCAATAAACATCTGAGCTCAACATATTACCCAGCTGCAAAATAAATATTTTCTCCCCTCTGAGCATGGGAGGGATACACTTTTTAGACACAAGATCACAAGTCCATTAATATTAATGGAAAACAAATAACTGGTTAAAGCAGTAAAAGAAAAAAAGATGCATATACTGAAGAAAACAAGCATTTATTTTAAGAAGAACAGTAATTCACCTCTTATAATAAAAAATTTCAAGATTTATAAATACATTCCCAGTTAATTAAGATAAATTGGACAAAAATCATCATCTGTGTCTCACAATTTCAAATAGTTTGTAACAGCAACAGTTCAAATTATTAATTTACACTAGGAGGCTGTAGATAGAAATCAATATAACAGTACAGTTTAGAAGGAGAATCTATTAGTAGTCTATCAAAAAGAAAAAATTACTTTCAAACTATAAAACATAAACACATGAAATACACTGGAAAATTTTTTTATTGTTTTTTGAACAAATGCATCATAAATACAGGAGCAAATAAAGTTAATACATATAGAAACCCTGAGCATGAAAGCTAGTATAGAACACCATTGTCATCAACATCTTATTCGAAATTTATATAGATAAGAAAATCCTGCACAAATATGAGTAAACTGTAGCATCAATCATTTAAACTTGGTTAATGTTTATGCTGTTAAAATGATCATTTTTAGCAGTTCAATAAAGCTTAAACTATTGATTTGTTGATTGGCTATTTCACCTCTATTTTATTTTCAGCCAAGGGTATCCCCAACACTTTATCCAGGGTTTTTGTGATTATTATGTTTCCCAGAAAACATTTAGTATGTGCAATACTGGAAGGAAGTTAGTTTTACAAGGATATGGGAGACCCTGAAAGAAGTATAGTATACAGGATATTTGACTATCTTTGCAAAATTCACTTGATGAACCCTTGATTTCTATTTCCTTTAAATAAGTAATTACCAGTAAATCCTAATGTTCATTGGAAGAGGATAAACGTTATGCCATGTCAGGCAACAAATGTGAAAAAAAAGCAATGGGTAAGCATGTTTATGAACTTAAGGTGAATTTGCCAATTTTGGTGTATAGTTCTGCATATAGATAATATGTTTCAACATTCCTTTTCCATCTGATAACAAAGCCCACAAACACTTTCTCAAGCTTGAATTTTGGGAGAATTATGCATGGTGCTAAAAGCTCTCACCACACAGAGCCTCTTGGACTTCTTTTTAGGTGTTTAACACTTTGACACCTGGCTAAGATCTCATTAATAATTCTCCTTACTGTCTTCCATACAATATTTATGATGCTATTTCTGAGAATTTGGTACTAGATCAACTAGAAAATCCTTAAACTTATATTTTTTTATTCTCATCACCTGTCTGATTGATATTGTAAGGAGAAATTCTATCTAGGTCACTCATGGGAGTTTAAGGGTGAAATTAATGATTGCTTGTATTTTCAAGGTTCTCATGCAAAGATATTCTTTCTGTGTCTCACACATGAAGCTGTTGGTGTCTAGTTTATTTTGAAATGGATTTCAATGCCAAACAGGTGCTGACATTTGTGGTTTACCTGTACAAGTATACAACAAATTGTTTTTCCAACCCTCATGGTTCTATGTTTTGTGCACAAAAATGATTTTTTTTTACTGCTTACATTAATTTTGTTGCTAATCAAGGCTGGTTGTTTTTCAAATATCATATGATCCTTGCTGGCTGACCTTGTGTACAAAAAAAATTCAATAAATGTAGAGTAACAAAGAAATCAATGGTTCTGGAATTCAAAATAGCCTAATATACATGTAAAGTGTAGATTATTTTTGCAAAAGCCAGTACTAACTTCTGACTAACTGGTGGAGCCGAGGGCTTTTCTAGAGAATATTGGCCCAAGGTTGTGTCGATGTAGAAATGACATATGTAGTGCCAATATTCCCAAGTACGGCTCAAGAAAGCAAGGTAACAGTCATGCATCAATGTCACTTAGACTAAATTTTTTTATTTTGAATTTCCTGGCTTCCAAGTAAAAAATGCATGTTTTATTTTTGTCCATATGGTGCGATGATGGTCCTTTTGGCAAAATCCTGACCAAGTAAGAACCAAACAGAAGTCTTGAATTTACCCCAAGACACATACTTGAATGCATGCAGCCAATAATAAGTATACAAGTTTTGATAATAAAGAAAAAAATTGATCAGAAACATGTACATGATGTGATTAATGATTGATCATGTGTTGATTAGCTGATGACAAAAGGTAAAACTTTACTCAGATACCAATCAATCACTCTAAATATGCAATCATTACCAGTTGGTGAATTGGATTCTTAAAAATCGGAAACAGTCAATTGAAAGGAAGCTTGCAATAAATCACTAGCTGACATCTGTAGAAAAATTATTTAGTCTAAATATTTAACAAGGAAACCAGTATAATAGCACAGTTTAGGACAATTCAAGTAGCCTATCAAAAAGAAAAATATTTCTTTCAAACTATAAAATAATAAATTAAACATAATCACATGAAATACGCTGCGAATGTTTATCGTTTTTTTTTTTGATCAAATGCATCGTAAAAAAAAAAAGGGGGGGAAATTAAGTAAATGCATATATAAGCCAAGTATTGCCTGCAAATTTTTAGTGAATTCGACAGTAAGCTTGCTCGAACAAGCTAAACTTAAGTAGCTTTTAAGTAACACGAAGCGGCAAAGCAATTAATCAACGCCAGAATCAATAAAAGTTAGCAATCCTCGTCAGTTAACTGCAGGAACGTCTTCCATGGCCGGAAATCAGAGAAAATTAGGACAGATTAAGAACATGTGAAAGAGAAAATGTTAACTGAGAAACTTAGAATAAAAGTATTTACCTTAAATTATGTTCAAAAATCTGATACAACCATGCGTTCTTACCTCTGTCGTGGAAATGGAAGCCACGTTTGACTGTTTTACGACCTTGCTTCCTCAATTCCACGTGGAAATGCTTCAAAGAAAGTAACTAAGACCGAGAAAGTAACAAAAAAGACTTCAAAGCTATGATACAGAATGAAGAATCGCAATAGCTTGTTGTGAAAATGAAAGGGGGAGTCCCTTGGCCCATAAGTCTTTGCAAGCTTGAAGCCGGAAGTGCTTTAGCGGAAATTGAAAAAAGAGCTCGTTTGGATTTGTAACCTAGGTCTGTAGTTTGGCCAAATTATTGCTTTGAGTTTAAAAAAGCTGTTTCTTTCATGCATCGCACTGTTTCAGTATTGAAAAATAATAAAAACAACGGAACGAATGTTATAACTTTATCACATGGAAAAATTGACTATAAAACGTGTTCATATACATAAGAATCTTCTCGCGTTCTTCCAAGGTCCTCAACATTATTACATCTCACTTTTACATGTTCTCATTAGCAGTCTGAACATAACACACGAGAAGTAGGTCTTTCTAATATTAGAAACAAATTCCTCTCTGAATATACTCATATAGATTTTGCTGCAGCGTGAACATAAACTGTTATTTATCTTATTCTCATTTGGTGATTGCATACCCTTTAGAGGACTTTGGAGCCCGGAGGGTTTGTGGCACCGCATTGGTTCAGGGAAAACGTTTCCAGTTTTTTTTTTTCCTGAAATGACTTTTTGAATTTTCTTTAACTGGCGGTAACATACCTGAGTTGTATCGTGTTTTGAATCGCCCTAAGGCTTCTTCAAAGTAGAAACAATGAGTGAAATACCAAGCAATACTACAAACCAAAAAGTCTAAGAAGCTGTTTATAATCCAACTGCTTTTTTTTCAATCCCTAAAAAAGTGACTACAAAAGGTACTAGTAGACATCAGCTCAACGGGGCTTGAATTGCAAAATAATATATACGATCTCGACAATTGGGGTTAAAAAAGCAACATTAAAGGTGATGAGATTCATAAATCTCACATGATATATTTGTAGGGATCAAAGTTGGGATCATGCGATATAACTTCTACCAATTTACAGCAGTTAATCATTAACTGTGTCACGCAATTATTCCAAAAAAGAAAAAAATTTGGGTTTTGTAATTGCAAATGTCTCCAATGGACAAATTTGCATGTCGACAAACATACCATCACAGCAAATACCTATCTTAACAATACGTTTTTGGGTAAAAATATTTTTGGGCTCTTTAAAAGATTTGTGATCACGCGACTCTGAAATACGTGACCTCTGACGTGAATTTATGCAATTTTTGGTTATAAACTGATGTTTATTCACTCAATTTCAATTTGAGAATGGGATCGTTGACGCTAGTTTTTGTGATACTTATGTCTAAAAACAACAGATGTATAGTTGCCGAGCTAAGGAGTCACTTATCATAGAATTTGGTGACGCTGACACTCCACTCGGTCCGTCCGCCTTGACCTTGACCTAAATATTTTCCGTTCGGTCCTCCCACTCAGTTCCATTCTACCATCTCCGAAAAAAATTCTACTCAACGTTAGATTAAAAGAAAAACATATCCTTTAACGTTTTTCGTCCTTTTTACTATGCCAAACCTTCATAAGCTTACTCGAATCCGAATCGTACAGCACGACCTCAGCGAAATAACGCCGGTGACACGGAGGGATGAAAGGGTGCTACGCCACTGACGCAGAGATTCAAGACTCTTTCCAAAATATAAAGAAGCATAGCATGGCTGGAATTCAAGCTTTGAACAACTTTTCTTTTGAGTCTGACAGCTTGAAAAGCGCACAATGTGGGCAAGTTTTTATGACTGGGAAAGTTTCAAAATTATGGTTCTGCACAAGGTGTGTAAACGTTTACCAAGAATTCAAAAGTGTTGAGAAACGTCTTGATGTTGGGCGCCACTTAACCGAGCAAAGTGGGCAGAAACCTGTAGAATTTTGTGCTAGGTGCAACCGTTGGTAGTGCTCCATCAACAAATTTATGATCTCTTGCAACAACAGAATCGACTGCAGCATTAGCCAAAAGTTCATCTCTGAAGGGGTTTGAGCTTTGAAGAAGGAGAAAAAATCTACCAGATTTTCTCAACGAGTGCGGTAATTTGTACAAGAGATATTTTTACAAAAAGAAGAAACCGGCAACGATGCAAATCCCGTTGATGTTGCACCCAAAATGAAGTGTCTAAGCAAATGGACACAAATAGTTAATCAGGGGGGAATGACTTTCAGTTGTTCAAATTGCTAGATATTTCAGGAAGCTAGCAGCCCTTAATAAGGCCGATCTTCTGAATAGAGTTGTAAGTGCCTCCCTGAAGAATGGATATACGATCAATACGTCAACAACGCAGAAGCGATGGAGACGAGATTTCAGATAAGGAAGAGAACTGGAAACTTTTTACTGGTACAAAGATAATTGTAAATGTGACCGTCAGATAATCTTCTTGTGAGTAACTCATAAAATCTTTGGCTTCAGATGGCGGCGTTTTATACTTTGGGCCTAATTCACCTTCGCTCGTAAGCTTTCTTGTTTCCGGTGACAATTTTCCATGATCCGCCATTTGTAATAAAATACAATTATTCATCTGTCGATCATTTATTTCAAGAACATTTGGTAAGGATCCAAAAATAATTGTTTCACTTTACATAGCAGGCAAAAATTTCAAAGCGTTTGAGGAAAGGCGTCCATTGCGTTCAAACCATAACGTTCAAGGCATTCGAGGCAAGGCGTTAGTAGTCAATTTTGTGGTAAGTTCGACCTTTGATAACTGATGTGCTGTATAACCTCTCCGCTATCATATCAATTTTGTAGTGTTTATGAATAGTTATGCCTAAACACCGAACCTCGTGGGGTCGATTGTTTACCTAACGATTAGAAATTAAAAGCTATATATTTGTGAAGTGTAGCCGATTGAAAATAGATCAGGTCTACGTCTTAATCATTATATTTATATTCCGACGGGAAAGTGAGAGCTGTTCTTGAGAAAGAATTTTTTAAGGCCAGTCGACGCAGTATGTGAAGTGTAGCCGATTGAAAATAGATCACGTCTACATATTAATCATTATATTTATATTCCGACGAGAAAGTAAGAGCTGTTCTTGTGAACGAGATTTTTCAAGGCCGATCGACGCGGTGTACGACTCTTCAGTGAATAAACCCGATCAGCTCATGATAAATTATGATAGATATTTCTTGAGATCTGCCATCGGATTGAAGTCGAAACTTGTTTTGTTTGTATGTGTGTGCGAGCCCCTATTTGTTTTCTGAGAGAAATGAAGATAGAATTTTTTTACCTTGCACTGGCAATTTGAATATTTTTCGTGAGGAAAGTTTTAATTCAGGTCGTTGTGTTTGGTTTTATTAGTCATACGCCAATGATTTGGACACAAAACAGGGGATAATTACTCCTTGCTTTGTTATGCATCTAAGAATAGCTAATTAAGAACAGTTCTTTTCCTGCTTACTGAGAATCAGAATGTGTTGGACTGAAATCCGATATAATATTTAAGAAAGATGTTATTAAGAATTAACGAACTCGGAAATTGCGGAAGATTTAATGCTTCGAGGTTGTTCCATTTAAACTTTTTCAAATAATTCTAGTTTCATGATCACTGATCTATTTAATGATTTTATCTCACACAAACTAAATTTATTCATCCTTGCATGACAGGGAAGGTTTTATTTCAGTTTCTAACGTTTGGTTTCCTCAGTCATGCGATCAGAATACTAATCAAGACTTGCGCGCGTTTGTTTGTTTTTATTTTTCCATATGTAAGCGGGTAATAAACTAATTTACAGCCTTCTTTTCGCTTTTCCTTAGCATTTCGTTGTTAAAGATTAAAAGATTTAAACAATCTAACAAACTGGTGAAAATGTACTTTTAAACAATTTGACTTCGGCTTGGAGATGTCTGTGAAATAAATACGTCTACGCTACCTCGGCGCTTTGACATGAAACACCCGCGAGTAATTCTCCTTTCAATCTGCTTTACATTTTCTTATACACCAGTCTGGAGAATTCGGTTTTTGATCAAAATAATAACCTAAAGCTAATAAACACGTTTACTTTCTCCATCTTTTGCTTGATAATGCATTGGAATTTTAAGGAGAATTTACATATCATTTACTGCCATAAAGAAGAGGGTTTGATCGAACACACAGCGAGTTGATGAGTAACCAATTTTTCGATTTCATCGTTTGTATCTCCTGAATGAGGTATTTACGATATTCTTCAATAAAAGGCTTTGTCAAAAGACTAATTAATACTTCTGAACTTAATGAAAACGAGAAAGAAAATTTAAAAATAGAGCGGACTGACCCTTATATACAACGGAAAGCTTATGGAGAGCGAATTCGAAGTAACCCGAAGAAAAAAATTCTTACGACGTAATATTAATTTGTTTTGTTCGCGTAGGTAAAACATGGTTTCCAGTGCAATTTGGTGTGAATAAGCACGGGTTAATTTTCAAAGACAGTACAATTGCACAAGCCCGTAATTTACATGAAAAAAATCATCAGGGAACGTTAAGACAAGCAAAATGAGAGCGGGCTATTTGTAACTTGCCGTCGTTGCACTAGCGTTACATGAAAAATGCACTCGTTTTCAGCCAGTCAAAACTACTTAATCATTATATATATATTCCGACAGGAAAGTAAGAGCTGTTCTTGAGAAAGAAATTTTTAAGGCCAATCGACGCGGTATGTGAAGTGTAGCCTATTGAAAATAGATCACGTCTACATATTAATCATTATATTTATATTCCGACGAGAAAGTAAGAGCTGTTCTTGCGAACGAGATTTTTCAAGGCCGATCGACGCGGTATACGACTCTTTAGTGAATAAACCCGATCAGCTCATGATAAATTATGATAGATATTTCTTGAGATCTGCCATCGGATTGAAGTCGAAACTTGTTTTGTTTGTATGTGTGTGCGAGCCTCTATTTGTTTTCTGAGAGAAATGAAGATAGAATTTTTTTACCTTGCACTGGCAATTTGAATATTTTTCGTGAGGAAAGTTTTAATTCAGATTGTTATGTTTGGTTTTATTAGTCATACGCCAATGATTTGGACACAAAACAGGGGATAATTACTCATTGCTTTGTTATGCATCTAAGAATAGCTAATTAAGAACAGTTCTTATCCTGC